CCAGCGTGTTGCCAGCTGAAGCGGAGCAGAGAGGGCAAAGCTGAAGGCGGTGGGCTGCCACGCTAAGGGCAGTCGCCCCTGCGCGCCCTCCGGGCGTCTCCGTACCTTGCTCCTCCAGGATCCCGTTGGGCATCTTCTTGTCGTTGGCGCTGACCGCGGCCTTCCTCTGCTTCCTGAACCTGAGAGACACAGACACGTTAGGATTCAGCACAGGGTCTTGGGAGCCGGGGGCCCCTGGAGGAAGGTACCCACCAGGTGAGCCGCGAGAAGCTTTTCCTGCTGCTCATGGCTGAGTCCTGCTAGCTGCCTGTGTCCCTCCGCCTGGCCGCCCGCCGCCCTCGGCGCCTGGGCCCACGCCCAGCAGTCACAGCCCCGTGGGTGCTGGTTTCCTCATCTGAGCAGATCAGGGCTAGTCCCGGCCTGGGGACACACCTACCTGCAGAAGTAGGCGGCGAGGAGCAGGAGGAGCAGACACAGCAGCAGCGGCAGCAGCAGCAAGGCCAGCAGGGGCTGGGGCGCGCCAGGGTCCGGAGGGCCTGGGGGCAGAACCGGTCCCCACCATGACCTGAGGCGCACGCATGGCGGGGACAGGGGGTCTGGGCAGGAAAGAGTCCCAACACCAGACTGCACTTCACAGTTTGCAGAGAACCCGCGCCAGCCCTTCCTCCCGGACACCACAGCCCACTTCACAGGGCGCCGAGCAGTCTTCCCTCCGTCAGTCCTCCCCCCACGCCGGAACCACAGGTTACAGTGTGCTGAGACTCCCTCCCTAGCAATCCTTCTTCCTTGACACCAGAACCACACTTTACAGTTTATAAAGCACCTCATCGTCAGCCTTTCCTCCTGGACACCAGCCAGCACCTCACTTTACAGTTTGCAAAGCAGCCCACTGCCCTTGTCTGTTCTGTCCACAAAGGCCCCATCACCTAACAAACGAGCAGCGCGGACACCAAGAGGAAGAAAAGCTGAGCTGAGGAGCTGGTGACCTGACTTGTCCAAGGTCCCCTAGTGAGGGCAGTAAAAGCACAACACAGAGTCCCCCAGACTCTCATGTGGCCTTTTTTTCAGGATTCCCAGGGCGCCTGCCTCTCCCGCTGACGGGGAGGTAGAGGAGGGTGG